TATGTGTATATATATATATATATATATCATTACATTTGGTAGCGGTGGCTCGTGTTCTATCCGGAAGCTCCAAATGTGTCCCGTGCAATGCAATACAATTTATATAACTATTCTAAGTCTCCATCTAATTCAAAATTAAATTGAACCCTATCAAATTAAAAAAAAAATATTAAAAACTGAAATCAAATTAAACTAAAATTAAATCTATCTTATTAAGCTTTTTTAATAAAGAAAAAAAATTATATCGGACCATTCTAATACATTTTATATCAAAATATCAACGAAAATAATAAAATATAAACAAAAGAAATGTTTGAAAATTTGGTATATTTAAATTTTCCAAGAAAAATAATTTTTTTTTTAATTTCTATGCATTATAATCTCAAGCTTTTATTTAAACTATTTTCTCTTTTATCCTTGATTTTTAATATAAAGTATTGGAAATAAATTGGATAAAGATAAATTATATATAAATTCCTAGCAATTTTTTTCATGCATTTCACATTAAATATTGAGAAATTTACATACATACATACTATACAATGCTTAAATATGTATATATCTAATACCTAAAATTTCATATTTACAATTAGGGGAATTTAACCAATTCTTATGTAATTTACATATCTGACACCTAAATTTTTGTTCAACATTTATATATATCACATCAAAATAATATTTTTATAACTTTTAAAAAGTGAAATACATATTTTAATGCATATAAAATTGTATATATATGTAAAAATTAAAATTCAGGCATATTAGATATATAAATACATATGAATTAAGTGCCATGTATGTAAGTTTTTCTTATATTTATAAAACTTTCATGTCATAATAGATATGTATATTATGTGATATTAAAAATTTGAGTGAAAGATATATACATATACATACATACACACACACACATATATATATATATATATATAATATTTTTTAACAGGTGAAATCGATACTTGGTCCAATGGGCATCAAATATCGATTTCCCCAAAATGTTGAAAATCCTGGTGTGCTTCCTTCTTATTCGAAGAGCCTGCACCACGAAATTTGAACCCCCGACCCGAGGGACTTACGCCAGAGGCCG